TTTTCTTTTCTCACAAAATTAAATACTTTCGACGATATGTTAAATTTGAATTATCGTGTGACGTCACATTTTGTGGCACGTTATGACGTAACGACCTCCCACTCCTAAACTTAGCGCCATTGTATCTAAGTATTGCAACATAATACGAGAAATTAAAAAAATACGTGTCTAATATTTTTTCATTATCTAACTGACGGACTAATTAGATTTTTAATTTTCATACCCTGTAAACTATCCAATTATTCTTCTAAGATGTTTAGGTCCTTACCTTTCATTGAGGACTAGTCCGACATGTTGCTGATCATTGGACAATATGTTCTTGATGAGGGATTTTGTCCTGTCATCTGCATTTTCCTCTGCTAGTGTAGTGAGCAGTGTCCTAATTTGTTGTATGCAGTTCTCTTCCTGTAATTGACGTAATTATTTGATTTTGTATTATTTTAAAAATGAAGCAAGTATTGTACAGTACAATATGTAATAACTGTTAATCATTTTAAACTCTTAATATAAAAGATAATATATTAAAAAATGCCTCATTGGCCCCGAGTGGTCGCAAATGCGACTGACGGGCAAGTGGTCTCGGGTTCGATTCCCGGGCCGGGCAAAGTATTACTGGGTTTTTAAAAATGCTCAATAGTAGCACAGAGTCTGAAATTGTGCCCGGTATATGGTAATAGGCTCACCCCCTATTACATGGAACTCATAACATAAATAGTGGAAAGTGGGTGTTACATTTAATAGTGGCATTAAGTGCCGTAATGTGCACCTCTGCCTACCCCTTCGGAGATGAAGGCATATACATTTAATTTTATTATTTTAAGTTTTTTTTTGGATATTGGTAGGTTGCATTTAACTACACGTTTTTTAAATTTGCTTTTTTGTTTTTATATATTTGTTTTGTTTAGTGCATTTTATTTTGTGTTTTTGGGGAAAATTGTTTTATGTTTATCGTTGTCTGATTGGTGACTTATTCGTCCGCGAGTCACTTAAGGGGCCAGTAGAATACCAGCGCAAGGCCCTGTCTTGCACACGCTGAACTGGTCCCATTTCACCGCAGACTTGGGTCATTAGTAGATATAATTATATAAACTTATGTGTAAAATCTGTACGTGTCACCTGTTTTTTTAGCGTGTGAAATAAAGTCTTTCTTTCTTTCTATATATATGTATGTAATTAACTCGTCGAGTACCGTCATTATAGACACAATTATAGAACAATAGGTTGCGGTCACCGGTGACCGCTTGGTGTTTGACAGTTTAAAAATCTTATACTCATAGACGATAATCCCAATATAATTATGGTTCTTTACACAACCAGGGAAATGCAATTGAAGTGTCTTGCTTTTCAGTTTGTACAATTAACTGTTTATCTTCACTTCTTCAGCTGTATATATACGAGACACAATAGAAAACACATTGTGACTCACATATGTCTAAGTTCCGGCATACCACGGTATTAAGATTAACCCATGCAAATGCCATTATTTTTATTTAAAATATTTGTTAAATCATATAAAAATATTGTGACTCATTATGATGCATTTATGATAACTTATAGGTCACAGACAGGAAATGTGTTTATCTAGTTAAACATAACATGTTCCCATTTTCTAACAACTTATTGATAAACATAATACTAGGTACACAAAGCACCGCTAATTAGTTCGAGGCGCTACACATCGACATTACTATCATTTACACAGTGAACATGTGTGGGTAATTTCATATTAATAGATATGTATAGAAACATTCGTTCTATCACACACATCTTGGTATTACTTATCATTTTTGTGTCGGTATACGTAATATTTTAGTAAATAAGTTTAAATAAAAACGAGGGTAAAGATAAAAATACTCATAACAAACTTTGAATAACTCGAAATCAAAAATAATGAACGATCGAGCAATACAATACTTATATAAATATAGTGCATTCTCATTGTATTTTTATGTTACTGAATGATATACAATATTTCGATGTTCTCATCTACGGCGCGCTTGGCGCAATGGTTATCGCCTCCAGTGGTCAAGTAAAGTGCCACCGGATCGATTCCAGCATTCACATGTTGTTTTAGTATTAATTAATCAAATATTTGAAATGTGAAATTAGAAACAATTAAATCTTTTCTTTTTTTCCTATCCTATTTTTCTAAATCTTATGTTAATTTTAATAGTAAATACTTTAGATTTATTTATACCTATAATATCCTTTATTTATATTTTAGTTCTAGTTATTTATTATTTAGAATAATTTAGAATGATTGGAAGAACTTTAAAGTTAACATGTGGTATATAATTAATTATTAGATATAAATATTGAATATAAAACCACATATTTGTATAATTAATAAATTAATTTTAATAAAAAATAGTATTGTTTTATTTACCGACTGATTTGCTTCTTTTATAGCCTGATATTTATATTATATGACAAAAAACAAAAAAAAAATAAATAAGAAAAACAACAAGGTAAAATAAAAAAAAACTTTTAGCTGGAATAGAACCCACATCATCATTGATCCTTGAAAGACGATAAAAGCGTACTCATTAACCAATCGACCACGAGCACTACGATAATTACAGTGAAAATGTCGGGTCATATCAATGATTGTAAATAGTTATAACCTTACCCATGCATTAAATTATAAAAATACGTATACCGACACAAGAATGAAAATACCAATGTGAACGTGGTGGACGAATATTTTTATACACAGTAATATGAAATTACCCACACATGTACATTGTGTAAATGACAGTAGTGTCGATGTGAGCGTTACGAACTAATTAGCGGTGCTTTGTGTACTTGAGTCAATTTCTTTTAATTACTGTTTAATTTACGAAATATCTTTATTATTGCCAATTTCTTTTAATTTCTGTTTAATTTACGAAATATCTTTATTATTGCTAAGTACAAAATAAAATCGTCATCGCTGGTGTCGTAAGAATCCATTAAACCATTATAGAGCTGAGAGCTGTGGTGTACTGATATACATTTGACAAAAACGCTTTGAGACTACTCAGGAGCGGTTACTGATGAACCTGAATGTTTAAAACTGCGGAAACCCTTTTTTTATGCTGAGGATTTGCATAGCCCAGTGTTGGATGTTGATTATGTGTATGACATAGACAGACTGTGACAAGTCTGTTGATGTTGTACTCATTGTTGTTTATTTTAAAAGTTATACAATATGTAATGTTATGAAATATCAAGCAATGTTATTTTAATCCCATTATAAAGTACAAGTATGTACTTTGATAATATTTTTATTGGGATTTATCCATACTAATAAGATAAAATTAATTTGAATGTATTAATCTCCAGAACTACTGGTTTGATGAAAAAATAGTTTTGTGTTGAATAGTCAATTTACTGAGAAATGTTATAGATTATAAAACACCACACTATGATAAAAATGAGCCGAGTAGTGAGTGAAGCTACGTGGGAGTAGCTAGTCAACCAATAAGACTAAGCCTAAAATAAGTTACATACGTAAACATACTTACTTTTCTCTTAGTAATATTGATGACTGTGGTCACACCAAATACACCATCGCTACCATCATCCTCATCATCATCCAAATCATCCAGTCCATCATCTAGGCACTGTTTCACAACACTGCCCACATAGTTTTGAGCTGAAATTCAAACAAAAAGTTGAAATAAACTTCATTTAGATCATGAATTTATATTATATTTGTTTTGGTAATCTAAAGTGATGGAGGATCACTGGTCCTCCAACAAGTACATGCACTAGACTGGCTCTAACTATTTTTTACAGTAGCAAATTGTGATACTAGTAATTGGCCATGGTCGATATCATGATGACTAGGTGCCATGCAAACATACTTTTTCTTTTTTCCAAACTAACATTAGGTGTTGGCGTAATTATTGAAACACTTACAGATTATGATTTGTGCAAGGCCACCCAAGTCTACATTAGCCTTGAGGAACAACTGCCGCAGCAGCTGCTTGATGCCGTGGAAGTCGCAGTCCTCGGGATTACGACCTTCAAAGTCAGCCATCAAATCCTGAAACAATCAGAAAAAGTATTAATGACTGTATTGGTTACGCGTAGCTAGACCACGTACCTATTATCAGATTGCATTGCATTCAATTTCATAATATTTTGAAAACAGAAAAAAAGGTGAAATCAATGAGACAATGCCAAGAAACGAGTATTAACATCGAATAAATGAAATACAATAGAATAAAATAACGATGTGAGAGTTAAACAGGAAATATTCGCAATAAAAATAAACAAAAACTCGAGGCCCGAGGCAGCATGCCATGTGATTTTAGGGTTATGAATTTGATTTACCTCCTTGTCACCGATGTAGTTTCCATCGGAATCGAAGTCTGGATCCTTTTCATCGCCAGACGGCTGTTCTTCTTCACTTTCACTATCGTGAACTTCTATTTCCTTATTCTTTTTATTCGACATTTTTATCCACCGACACACTTGCACGCCGCACGACACAAACAATAACCACAGACAATAAATGAAATGACATTTCGGTTCAGAACTCAATCAATGTTCATTTCATTCATCATTGAGTAGAAGTCATTAGATATCTATGGTAGAAGTAGAATAAATGAATGAATGTAAGGCAATAGAGCTAGAATGTAGCCCGCGAAATCTAAAACTGATGATTATTTGCAATAATTACTGCTCCCTATAGAGCAGTAGCAGTATTCTAATAAAATATTGAAATATTGATTATTCGTGTAGTGTAGTGTATGACTTTTATCTGGTTGTCTGGTCTGGTCGTCTATCGAGGTCTATCTAATATAGGTACTATCCATTTTATACATTTTTTCAAAGGATGAAAGGGTTAATAAAATAACTAATAAGTATACTTAGTATCTTTCTATGTGGATATTTTATTTAATACAAATCATTTGCATACATAGCAGAGATTGTACAAACAAATTTGATAACATTTCTTATAGTACAGTTAATTGCAAAGGGTTTATTGACGAAGAATAAAAGAAATTTAATTATAGATAAGTTTTACTTTTTATAAATATTTAGAAGCAGAGTGAAGTACGACCAAGATGTCTTGATTATCTGTAAAATAAATATAAAATAAAAATTACATACCTACACATTACATACATTAAACAAATAAGTATATTCAAATACAACCTACTTAGGTTGATATACGTAGTAGAAGCAAAAACCACCCTGTTCCTACTCCTGCACTTCGAGCCGCGGCTCCGCATAGAAAACCGGTAAATGACAATGAGGTTACAGCAGGATTACAGGATTGAGGGTAAATCCTCGAAGACCGGCAAAGTACTGGGCATCGACTCCCTGGGATCCCAATATCTAGTACTTACAAGGCGAACAGTCTCATTTCTTTTCTTTTGTAGGTATACAATTTTGACTGGGCCTCAAAATCAAACATGTTAGTTACCTAGTCAGATGTAGAGGTGAAAGTTTCTACGGGTAGCTCTATTTGCTTATATCATGCTCGTTTGTCAATCCAATAAAAATAACAATAGGTATACAGCTACGTACGTACCTATCCACGACCTATCAATCAGAGTAGGGTGACAAAGTTTCATCAATTTACTCAAACTGTTCATTACACTACTTTTTAATCGACAACGTTCTAGATCTTTCATGATTGCAAAGTAGGTTGTAGTAACCTACGTTGCGTATTTGGATGGTCGTTCTTAAAAAACTTACCGTTGTGTAACTCGCTAATGAGATTATGGAGAACCCATACGTCGTGACGTGCACATCTTTTTGGGCTCTGAAAAAATAACAAACTGGTTTTTGATCATTTATTTATTGTAAATCTATGCACTCTACGAAGACTACGTGTTGATTACGCAAAAATCAATGAAAATGCTACGAAGCTTCTACGAATAGCCTACACAACGTCTACGAAAAGGCTACGAGTTGACTACGCAGCCTCTACGAAGACCCTACGCTATGACTACGCAAGATCTATGACAAACCTATACTATGGCTACGCAATGTCTACGAAGGGTCTACATAACGACTACACAACGTCTTTAATAATTAACTTTCAGAGTAGCACTATTGTTCACCTAAATATTTACCTATGAAGCATGATAAGCACGGAGCTTTTAATCTTTTGTGATGCTTTATACCAGCCACTTTCGTAGAGGGCATCCGATAGTCCTTGGCTCTGTAAGAATAAAGACATTTAATGGTTGATTCTAGAATATGATATACTGGTACTAGGAAGATTACATTAGAAAAAAACAAGGTTTTTTTAGGCTTCGAAGGTAGGAATGATGACGATATGATGTATTATATCAGGAATCCCATGCAATAGAGGTGAACCCATTGTCTTACACTGGGCACAATTGGGTACTTGCCAGCTAGCAGAATTCGATACTTTTTTCGAACTGTAAAAAATTTCAGTTTTACGAATTTTGTACGAGATTGTGTACCTATTGTGACGTCACGTTTTTTTTAGCGTCAAACAACATACTTGTTCCTTAAAATTTGCTGGATAAATACTAAAATTAAGTTAGTCATAAAAGCAATTAATGAAAGTTTGATTGATTAATTTTAACATTTTATTGTATTGAACAGTCGAAATAATTTATTTTTGATTAAGGCAAGTATCCAATTCCTAACTCCATGTTAGGAGGAGCTTTCCTACGTGTTGGGTCTAGGCAATCAAACATCAATAATGTTTATAATACCTATTTATGTAGTATAGAACGAAATATCTTTGAGGTTTCCTATTATCGTTGTTTCCAAATTGCCCTACAAAATGGGGTCACAGCTTTGCAAGTCATGCTACGTACCATTAAGTAATGACTTTCAATGATGCACCTTATTTAAAAAAGGAAGACGACATAAGGTCTCTTCCTTAAAATTCACGTACGCATCAAGCTATACAGCCAGTTCATCATGGTCTCGGTTTGTATGGTCTTTCAATACGTTCAACGGTCTCTTAATATTGGTTATGTATAGCTTGATCTGCCGTAGGTACATAAGTAAGAAAAAGTCCGTGGACCGCTAATAAAAGGAAATTGCGGATATGTATCCTTCCTTCCTTATTGAATCGAGCAAAAACAAATTGTACAATTCATGTGTCCTGTAGCCATTTTACTTGTTTATGGTTTCTGTATTTGTGTGATTTTTGATCTGACCTTTTTTATTCGTCATTTTATTTTTACCATGAGACTTGTTCTTATTCTGCGAAAGAGTTGTATACCTATAAATTAAAATTACATGACATAGTTTGGTTCTCGAAGGGTGGTTAAAGGTAAAAAATACCTAACACCCAATTTTCAACATTACCTATAAGTATATTTATAGACCAAAGTGAGTGCGATTAACCCATAAATCCCCAAGCGGTCACCGGTGACCGCTTTCCACTAATATTACATTACATTATAGACCTTATTTCTAATGTTTAGAGACTACTCTTGTATGACCAAATTTAGGGGACGGATTTCAACGGGTACCTGAAAATGTTTACCATCTTATCTTACCGACTCAAGTAACCTCTGTCCGTACCAGCAGAGCAGCCATGTTTGCGACAACGCCGTCGTCATGAATGATTTGTAAACCATCTCGTTCCATTTTTCCACTATCTAAAGAAAAAATATATTTTACATGGTCAGCAACGAACTTGTGATGCCTCCGGGTTAGACGAACTAGTAGGTTACTACCGGGCCTTCAGTTACTTAGGCTACGATAATTGCTGATAATTAGACAAGTCTTTAGCTAGACAGCCAATAGTCAGCAATTTGTACTGTGGCAGTACTTCTAAGTATAGGCACGCCTTTGTTTACGCTTTTGGAGGCATCACGTGCCTACAACTATACCTATGTCAATAGACAGTCAGACAAAACAAACAAATAAAATGTTAGCACCTGCCATTACTGACAGGATACCGGTGCATTTTCCTCAAGCCTTTATACTCGGAGTATACTTATAGAGGTGTTTTATCTGAAAACAACTTCCCAACTTGCTAAGGATGGGTGCTATAGGGTGCTAATGTGCTATTCACTTCTTTAGTTGAGCTGTCAACATCACAACTTTTATTTTTCAAAGAGATAAGCGGAGGTGCGCAGTGTAACATTGAACTTTACACCAAATGTGCTGAGTCCCATGTAATAGGAGGCAAACCAGATTATGTGCTTGTGTCTGTGTCTATATTTAAAAATTTGTAAAAGTAATTCCTATTTACCTACTTTGCGCCAAAAACAATTAAATTATTTAATCGCCAATTACCTAGATAGGATAATATCATATATAGTAGTATACTTCCAAGGTCACACCCACTTTTGACCAGTTATGCAATGGGTGGCAGGAGCGGATTAAACCTTTCATCGACTCTATTGAATTTCAAATTTAATTTAATTCCAATTTAATTTAAATAATTGATCGCAACTTTTATGTTATCTTGCTTGATCTTGTTCGAATCTAATTTTTTTTTATGTTACTTATTGTAACCATTTTATTTAGCCAGTAAGTAGTTGTTACGCTTACCAAAGTATTATTTGTAATGATGTACCTAATTAATATATGAGTGTAAATAACTGTTGGTCAAACTAATAAATAAATAATAAAAAAAAAACCTAAAGAGTGTCTTATGCAAGCACCTCAAAGGCGACCCTATTATTGTTTTTTGCGACGCTGCTACTTTATGGGCGTTCATGTTTCGTGGCGTCGCGGCGTCTCCTGTTACCTAGCGCCCCAGGCACTTGTCCAGTTTGCCTTACGGATAATACGGGTTTGATAGCCCTTATAAGTAGGTGGCAAGCCTTAAACCGGGTGCAATTTCAGTTGCTACACGGGTTACACCTTCTACTCTTAGGTACTCACAACACAACAGAAGCCACAGAAACAGATGATAATAGAGCTGTTGAAGAAGTTGACGAGCAGAGCAAAGCTGAACATCTCTTCCACATCACCGGAGAGCCTGGGGATACAATAGTTTTCAGCAAAGATAAAAAGGACGAGTTTTAAATCTCAGTAAAAGTTAGCCATATTTTGTGGTTTCTTTAAAATCAAAACATCGACTTTAGTCAGAACTAGGAAACTTATCTATAAGATCCCAAAAAGATAATAAATCTAATATTAGTTACTACCTACTAGACAAAATATAAAATTACCTGCATTCGTATACAATATACATAATGCATAAATCCAGAATTGATAGCTACCCCATATAGCCATTTTCGGTCGCAGATTTGTAAAAGGTGTAACAAGTCGCATCAGTTTCGTAACTGATACGACATATTGCGACTGTGTAGGAGTGCACTTCTATTTGTCGTAACCGCTTAGTAACAAAGTGACTAAAAGTAGTTGTAGTAACTTGGTGTTGTAGCTGTGTCGACTTGTTACAGAAAAAAATGTGTACACACGATTTACACACTTTGCGTATTGTATGTAACTAGTGTACAATATTGGTAACAATGTGTAGTAACTGAGTGGTAACATGTGTAGTTCCGTTACGACAATGTTCCGGAATACTTTAAGACTAACTTGGATAAATGGAAATCACTAGATCCAGTCATTCTCAAACTTGTCTAACGTTAACTACCGGTTTACAGTTTAATTAAAATAAAAAATGAGTAAACCACCCAAAATATCAAACGCTATTTCTGCGAATGACAAAATTAAAATAGTTGGAAGGAATATCAAAAACAAATTTGATTTTTTATGCGACCGTTCAATTCTTCGCATATCAATGTTTATGCAACATCACTTGTGAAATGTAAGCTTTTATCTATGGTTTACAACTCCCAAATGGTATTTATTTCGGTATTGACAACGTTAGGGGTAATAATAAAATGAAAACATAAGAAGAAACGATTTTTATTTCGAAATCACAAATTAAGAGTTCTAATTTGAGTCCTTCCGCAAAAGTGTCGATTCCGTTGACCTTTACTTTGCATTTTATTTTTTTCCAGTTTTCGGCTGGCACGGTGTTTTCATCCCGTCTTAAGAGCTCCAAGTCGCTGTTTTTTTTACGCGACCTATAAAAGACGTTGTCTTTCACCCACGCACTTGGTACAAGGGATATTAATTGAGATGAGCCTTCTTTAGTTAACACAATGCGATATGACATTTTGTCAGGCAAACTAAAGTTTAGGAAACTGTGGACAAAAAATCAAAGAGAGACCATTTTAAAAGTTCAGTGACGACTTTACGTAACATGCCCACACATTATCGTAACTTTGTAACTTGTTGTGACAAGAATATTTTTCACTTAACCAAAAAATATTTTTTCATTATTTATCATTAATACGGTTTATTACTGCTAAAATAGTTTATTATTAAATATTCAACTTTATTTTTGCATTCAAATAGACGCTTTTGAGATTAAAAAATAAAAATATCATTAAATTAAAAACAATGTTTATTATTGTCGGAATGGTTAAATTATGACAATAATGTGGCGCGTTGATAAATTTCAACCTTTCCCACGAAATTACACGATGAATTTAATTTCGCACTAAGATTTGAGTACCTAAGTATTTCAAACCATCAATAAAAACAAAACCTTTGTTTATTTCCCTAGGTGATAAAATGGCTGTTTATTATTTTTTTAATAGTTCACGTCATAAGTCAATGTCAACGAATGAGTGATTATGGGTGATTGAGTGAATGATTTGTCGGAACTGGTTAAAATATGGTAACAATGATACGGCACAGCGACGTAAATTAGAAACCGAATGTTACTGTGTCGACTCGTCCCCAATTTTAGTTGCAGCGACTACTCTAACTCGGAACGGCGACGAGATTATGTGTCGAGAGTAAATCAGTGTACACACTAGGCGTCGAAACCGTTACGTTATATTCCTAAAATTGGCTATATGGGACACAAATGGATAAAGCTACACTAAACCAGTATATCATGGTCTAGCTTTGTATGATCTCTTCATAAATGATGCATAGTTTGATGTACAACCGTGTAGACCATCTGCGCGAATATCCTTTTGTCTAACATTTTAAATGCAAATGACATTGATGGAATGAATCGCTATCGTTTAGAATCGATTCAACGCCAAAATGAGAATCGAGTTGACCCGAGTTGCTTGGGGATAAGTCGAATTTTATTGATAAAGTAAGCTGTATACTGCAAATGAAAAGCTTAGGGTGCTCGCCTTTGCTTTGAAGTAAAATTTTAGCTTGATTTAATTTAGTTTTGTTGGGTTTTTTCCCTTTTAAAATAACGTTAAAATTTTGTTCCCTTTCAGGTTGAGTGAAGGGGATTAACCTTCCCGTAATCGGGGAACTATTGCAGACTGTGCTATTGATAAAAATGTTCGAACCCAAGAATTGAACCCAACACCACAGCCGTCATAACACACCTTGCAGTCGTGTGTGATACTCGATCAAAGAGATAAAGATAAAATGTATCCCGGAATTTAAACTAGGTAGGTAAGAAGCTAGGTAAATAATTAATTGTAAATAAATAACTTTCGGGTCAGTGGGTCGTCTTAGGGGCAAGGAGTTTACGACTCAGAAAAATTTTCATTAAAAATAAAAATTCTTATAAATGGTTAGTTTTTCATTTTCATCGATTAGTATACCTAATAATAAAGCGAAAATTATCTGAACACCTTTTGTCTAGGATTTCAGGTTCGCCTATAAATGAGCTCTAAAGGTCAGTTGGCGGAAACCGCTTTTTAGCACTCGGCGGCCGCTGCCGCGGTACCGCTCGCTACGCTCGCTCGCCTCGCGCCTCGTGAGGGTCACAGCTCTAACCTAACCTAATCAAATGTGTCGGGGTGCCTAAAAAGTGTTTTTACCCACTCCCCCAACTGACCTTTAGGGCTCATTTTCAGGCGAACCTGAAGCCCTAGATAAAAAGTGCCCAGATAATATTCACCTTATCTTTAGATATACTAAAAGAAAGAAATGAAAAACCAGCCGCTTATAAGAATTCTCATTTTTGATGAAAAATTTTCTAAGTCCTCGCGCCATTGCGCCCCTAAGGCTACACTCTAACCAACTTTTGTGACACATACTAAATTAATACGGAATGCTGCTCATGAATATAAGCCTCTAGCATGGCTTGAAACTAGTCGAGTTCCTGTCAAATAATTACGTGAGTAAGCCGAAAACATAAGCTGATAATTGCAATGCAGTGATTTCGCGTTGCAATTATTTAAAAATGTATTTACTATTCATTGAACCCATGTTTGTAAACGCATACACGACACACGATAAGGTCCAAATGTGGAGAAAAAGTTTTTATAAATAAATAAACTATTCAATAGTGACCATACATACCTGACTAGAGCTCGATGTCTCTCTATAATATCGGAGAGATCTCTCTGATGTTTGTCTTCCCAATCGTTGTCATTAAATGTATCTATTATATCCTTATTCTTTTGAGCATAGCCTTGGCAATATTCACCTGTAAAAAGTTCTTCATTACCTAAGTATATGTGTCGTTTCATGAAATTGTCTATTAAGACGTATTAGGTTGGCTTAGACGCAAATCCGGGTACGATACACTAATATTGTTATTGCGTGTCTAAGTGTGATGTACCTATTAATGTAAAATTATGTATTGGTTAGGCCCAATTACCCTCCTTCCCAATCTCCCTATTCCCGGAATACCCCACAATCCTTCCTAATCTCCAAAATACCGATAACGCACTTAACGTAACATTTCTGGTATTTCAGGTGTACGTGAGCAACATCTATTGCTTACCATCAGGTGATCCATGTGCTCGTTTACCAGTTTCCGTTTATCCCATAAAAAAGTGCATTCATGACATTGAAGACTATTTTAATTTGAAGCATTGTTGTTTTAGGCGCAGTCTTACATTTATTCACCTAAACTAAAAACATAATGTTATCATGATTTTTTATAATTAGTGTTATCTCTCATCTTTTAAATACAAAGGACGGTATGGGCACCTACCTACAGTCGGGAGATTGATTAATTAGAAAATCTGTCCCGGCAGAGATTGGCTTGAAACGACATTGCTACGGATCGTAATAGGAAACGCGGGTTTTGTTAATTTGATCCCCTTTAACTGTTTTGAATTTGCTTTGGTATTAATATAATGTTTTTTTTTCTTATACAAGAATTTCTTGGTCAAGCAGTGAATTGTTATGAGTTGTTTGTGTTGGTGTTTAAGTATTAGATGGTACATATTTTCACTATTATCCAGGTGTAAAATACTAAGTATCTACATTTGTGCGTACGGCGCGTCGCATTCTGCACGCCTCGAAAAGCCAGCCCACCACAGATTGTGCCCAATAGGGCTGATGCCCATGCGGAGCCGCGGAAGGCCTAACGGGTTGCCGGGGCTCCGGTTCAAAAAGCAGGATTAAGAACGCCGAACGGGGTAGTTTTTAGTCAGTAAGTAAGACTCTAAGACTACCTCTCGCTTAAGCCAAGGCGGGAAAAGGCATGGGATGATTTTCCCCCTTCAAAAACAACCTCTAAAGTAATTAGGTACATACTTAGAACGAATAACTTTTTGACAAAGCTCGATAAGGAAATCGTTTCTTCGATTCTAGCTGAGTAATCGACAAATAAATCGTAGAATCAAGGTATCAAGACAATTGTTCGTCGTTTTATCGAAGCTTAAACGTTAGAGATAAAATGCAAATCAAGGACGAAGCCTAAGTTTAGTCGAAATATCAAAGTGATAAGGGCATTCAAACAAGTTCATTATGAAGTGACTGTCTAAGTTTGGTATTTCTCGTTCTGTCGTCTACAGGCATCGTATATGAGACACAGCACCATTTACTCAAGGTAAAGACAGAGATGGATTAAGCAACTAAGTTCGTGCTGGGCCCGTAGTCGCCTAAGTATATTTGTTATGGATTTTTTGTATAACATTGCACGAAATGTCAATATGATTTTTACTCCTTGTAGGTATAAACAGACAGGAAGTCAATGCTCATGATGCTGTGCCCTGAAACTACAGTAAGTAGGTACTATTGTAGGTAAGTATCCTAAACAGGTACGCAGTTTTACAGTATACCGTAAAAAAATCACTGTTGAAGGTCCCATGTGGATTTCATAGGGAAAGAACCAAATTCTGTGCTTACGCAGTTAATCCGGCCCTGGGTAAAAGGGCGGGATACTAACTTCAAACGTCAAACCCATTCTAAGACGTTAACGTACCAATAAACCCGTTTTAATTACAAACTTTTGTTAATTTGAAAGCCTTTGATCTTGTTATTGTTGATCTCTTACTTTCGCTTTTGTGACGGAAAAATTGTTTGGATTATTGAATAAGTTTTAGAGAGGCAAGCTTTTTAAGGGATTGGTTATTTCAGCTCAATCGGTTGAAAATATCTGGTTTAAAATATAGTTACAGTATTTCACTTCACACGCATACAGTACCATCTTTACCTTAAGGGCTTTTGGGGCCCGTGCCCAGGGCCCTCATTCTCAGGGGCCCGAAGGACCGACAAATTCTAGAACTGACACACACCCGCTATAAGTTCAACGTAGCAATATTAAAAAAAGAAAAATTCCTCATTGTGTACCCAATGGCTCCAGCGTATTCTAAGACGGCCTTGCAATATTTATACATACATTACATACATACATATGATGTAATAGGTAAGTAAAAAGAAGTTGCATATATACATTGCAAGATAAATGAAAACGTGTAAACAGTAAGTAGCATTTAACTTGTTACTCATACTAAGAGATACAGAGATACTTAATGTACCTAGATATATATATGTAGAATAAGTGTGGGAGAGCCATGCTTGGGCAGGAATGGGCCGGCTCGACCGGAGTGATACTACCACGGCCTTGCAGAAAACCGACGTGAACCAACGCTTGCGTTGTGTGAGTGAGGTTACCGAAGGCCCAATTACCCCCCTCTCCTTCCCTGAGCCCTGACTCCGCAACTATCCTCAAACTCCTAATCCTCAAAAGGCCGGTAGCGCTAACGCCTCTGGTGTTCCAGGTGTCCATGGGCGACATCGATTGCTTACCATCAGGTGATCCGTCTGCTCGTTTACCGTCTTATACCATAAAAAAAAGATTGTCGAAAATTGTAAATACAGGTAGGTACCTATCTATATTAATATGACTACTAACTAGTAATAATTATGAGATGTTTTAATACTTCGGTAAAGAAGAAACAAGCCTTTTCATTGTCCTTATGTTTTACCAGCTGTTATATGTATATAGGTAGTACATACCGAGTGGGTAAGTATGGACCAGCTGCTTGTCTACCGGCACGTAGACCAGTCTGCGTATCCTGACTGCTAGGAGGTCGAACTGGGTGGTGATGTGGCTCAGAAAAATGCAGAATAATAAATCCCCACATAACATAAACCATATTGTTATCAGACCTGTAAAAAGAACAAATAATATCACCATGATTGCAAATACCTACGACGGTGACCGTAGAAATGTACGTACATTTTTTACCACATTTCATCTAAATGGTGGGGACCTCTGTCTACCCCTTTGAGGAACAAAAGGTGCCGTACCTATTATTATATGTATAAAACAATATTATATAGATAAAATAATGTAGCTGTATAATTTATTGTTTGTTGATTAAATTAAAAATGAATTTCCGTTCGTTAACATAACATACTTAACATCACGCCTTTTATCCCCGAAGGGGTAGATAGATACCACTGTACAGTGTAACACCCACTTTTCACTAATTATGTTATGAGTCCCATGTAATAGGGGGTGAGCCTATTGCCATATACCGGGCACGTTTCCAGACTCTGTGCTACTACTGAGATTTTTTTTTAAATCCAGTAATACTATGCCCGACCCGGGAATCGAACCCGATACCCCTTGCCCGGCAGTAGCCCTTGCGACCACTCGGCCAACGAGGTAGTCAGAAGTTCCGTTCGTTAGTCCCGCTAAAACTCGAGAACGGCTGAACCGATTTGGCTAATTTTGGTCTTGAAATGTTCGTTAAGGTCCAGGGAAGGTATACAACGGAAGAAAAAAATTGAGACGGTACGAAGTTTACCGGGTCAGCTAGTTGTATATAATTTGTAGACATCATTAACAACGGGTACCAGGTTAACTCGGCTCATCGAATTCTTTATTTAAAATTTTTGCCAACCTTCCGCGCCAAATCCGATCCGACCGGGTCGCGTCCAATCTCCTAACGTTCAGTAGCGACCTGAACGCGGTCCGATACGGTTGTGTTGTGAGGGGATCGTGCGCGCGCATCATAACAAAATGGCCGCCAAAGTAGTGTTGATTACAGAACAAGACTTGCTCCTCGAAGTTTTGGCAAAATATCGTGATTTACCCGTGTTGTGGGATATTACACATAAACATTACAATAATCGCGAAGTTCGAAAAGAAGCGTACGAATCATTGTTAGAGTATTATCTTGAATACGATAAAACGGCCACAATACACACATTAAAAAAGAAAATAGAGAATATGCGATCAGCATACAAACGAGAAAGGAAGAAGGTTCGTAATTTTACATTAATAAAACTATAGGATTTAAAGTAAACAAAGTATCCAAGTAAAAAGTATTACCTAAACATTGTATTGTGATTGTGAGTGCATTAACATTTTACTCTTAGTGTTGCCACTTAAGTATTAAAATTAACTTGAAATTACAGTAAATATATTTAATTATGATAAAATTCATTATGATATAATTTTGTGGTTTTTAGATTATGTTTGTAACTACTCGATGTTGTTAAATTTTATTCAGTACATGATATTTTTAAATACTAATTAGTAACAAGTAATTTTAATTTTTTTTCTAGGTGGAGAACGGTTTAGTTGACGGTCAGCCATACACACCGACACTTTGGTATTTTAATCATTTGAAGTTTTTGGATCAGGATTATACTAGTTTGGATTATGATAGCGATACAAACTTAACTTATGTAAGTATAATTATATTTTATGTAGATAATATAAGTATTTTATAATTAGTTGATTGACTGATTAATAAACTGTAACCTATGGACTTTCTTGTTCGTTTTTCTCCATACAAATCTACACCTTGGAATGAGAATAATAATATAAGATTATAGCGTCACTTTAAAAAAAAAATATTGATGTTCAAAGTGTCTTACTGGTCTAATTGAAATAAATGATTTTGATTTTAATAGTCAAACTCAATGCTTTTATTGAAATGTCAATGTATGAAATACAAATTCAATAATATCATAATGTTTATTATAAATTTATTTATTAAAAAAAATAGTAAAATATTAAATTCCTATCTTTCAAAAGTAATGAAAGTGTGGTTGTTTCTGGACGTTCCATTGTATTGAAAAGTTGACATAATGTATTTTTGATGAGTAAAATATGCAATTAATGGACTAGTACAATGAATGTTAACTTTAGTTTTCACGGGTTCAACTAAATCGAATTCTATATTGTTTTCATTTTGTTGGGGTGTAATTACAGAATTTTGAACAGTTAAATCATAAAAATAATTTTCCCAGAATTAGAGCTTGTAAATAATTTTTTTTTTCTTAAAATTATAGGGGCCTGAACCCAAAAGGGCGAAAAGAAGAACACATGTAGAAACACCGGAGCAAAAGGATGATGATGATGATGAGACTGCTGAAGCCTTTGGGAAGTCTATAACTTGCACGCTTAAAGAGCTCCCAAAGTTACAACGGTGTTTAGCAGAGAAATTAATATCTGAAGTTATATTTTACGCCAAAATGAACGAATTAAATATGGATTCTAAGATATGTTCAAATTTTAGTGGTGAAAATTCAGAATAAAAAGTAGTTAAATAAGTATAACAATCTGAACAATATTATTACAGAAGTTTCAAGTGTATTTTCATAATTTGTGGCTTGGTCTGTTATGATTTGTGATTTTAGTTACACTGAATTATTACGAGAATTTTGGTGTTGAAAAAATGTTAAATGCAGCTGTTCCATTCTATAAAATGATTTGAATCTTATTATTAGCATTGTATATTTTCCCATTTATAAAAATTCCTCATTTTTTTCAACTTCTTCTAAGTAAATATTTCTTTCATAAAATATTTAGGAATTATGGGAAAGTTCACAATGTGCGAATTTAATGCAAAACATGTTGCAAATGTATGTGGCAAGAAATATAAATAAATAAAATCTCAATTTTTTAACTCATATTTTACTATGCCAACTGTCGTCGATTAGAATTTAATGAATGTTACCTACCAATTTTAATATGCAATGTAAACCAAATATAATTTTCCAGAAAAACCTGATCATGTTTTTGTTTGGCAACATTCAAATTGTATGATGTTATATGCTTCGGACAGCGCCATCTAGCGGTACGAAGTAACAAACTAAACCATTATTTTATTTGGTTGTTCTTTTATTTACGGAACTATTTAAAAGAACTCTTTTTGAAACATAAATACCGATTGTATGAAAATTATTATTGAAATGTATGTATGAAAATATATATTGAAAGAAAGACCAAGAGATTCCCTGTGATCTGTGATATTATTTTTAAGTCAACTTCAAATCTGTTTACTTAGTGGTCAAGCACGAACTTGTAAAACATAGGTACCTAAGAATTCCTTATATAGATGGTACTTAAATTTTGTTGTCTCCATTTTATAACTGTACTCTAAGTAGGTACTTAGAGCTATTCGGTAGGTAGTAGGTAGGTAGGGACCTGCCGAATAGCGTAGATATTTAATAGCGGTTTGCATAACGTTCCTCATATTATTTTAATTAAACATTTCTATTAAACATTTTCTTTATTTTTAATTAACAATTATTAATTACTAGCGACCCGCCCCGGCTTCGCACGGGTGCAATATGCATGTATTATACATACAAACCTTCCTTAAGAATCACTCTATCTATTAAAAAAAACCGCATCAAAATCCGTTGCGTAGTTTTAAAGATCTAAGCATACATACGGACATACAGCGAAAGCGACTTTGTTTTATACTATGTATTGAAGTATAGGTACCAGTTACATAACATCACGCCTTTTATCCCCGAAGGGGTAGGCAGAGGTGTACATTATAATTATACCAGTTATAAATATTAAAATTATAGATGATTGTTCAGTTTTAGGAGTAGAACATTATCGTTTTAAAAGTAAGTAACAATTAATGCAACTCAAAACAACGTGATAGATGGATATATACAGCAACGCCATCTGTTGGTGGCATCCTTTACGTTATGAGATGAAAGGACGAAATTAATTACTGTCATCTTTTGACAGCACATCGCGATAAAGTTGCAGTTTTGTAAACGTTGAACGTTAGCTTATCGAGAATGAACCTTTTGTGCTGGGTAACAGAGATTAATTTCGCTGGTGGTAGCTAAACTTAAATGTATGAATTTCTTTATTATTTAGGTATACCTTTTTTCCCCTTTGGCAACCGAGTCCACAAAACGGTGTTGTCGACTATACTACCAGTGACGAAAGGTATACCTTTGATTAAATAATGTCTAGATGTCTAGATGGAGTGTCATTCACGAAATGCATGTCAATAATTTGCAGTTTTCTCAATCGTTCACTGCAGGTAAGCATCAACGCCGACCATGAACACCCGTAAACAAGTGCGTTGCCGTCTTTTTAGGGATTAGGAAAGACATAAATTATATAGTATAATTTTTAATTTCTTATCGATAGATTTTGGCTCAATTTTATGATTTATTACATACTACATTTCAATTTATTACATACTACTTACATTGCAAAAATGGCTACCTGGTCCTCCCATGTCCTGGTCCCTCCATGGTCGGCGTTGATGCTTGCCATCAAGTGGTTCATCTGCTCTTGCAATAATATTTTACACTAAATATGCCTTAATTAATGTGTGTGTAGTTGTGTGTTTGTGGTCGCGGTGGCTCGGAGATTTAAGACGCCCGCTTCTCATGTATGAGGGTGCGGGTTCGAAACCTACCAACGGCAAATACCAATGTTACTTTTTCTGAGTTATATGAACTTTATAAGATTATTTAGACACCACTGACAAACGGTGAAGAAAAACATCATGAGGAAACCTGGGCTTACAATTTCTAATAATAAGTTTGTAAGCCAACCCGCATTGAGCAAGCGTGGTGATTAATGCTCAAACCGTGTGAGAATAGGCTTTGCTCAGCAGTGGGCATTTATAGGCTGTTGATGATGATGAGTTGTGTGTTCGTAAGTGCGACTGCCGCGCAATAGTTCTCGGGTTTCTCGAGTCGAGCCGATATTGGTACATAAGATGAAAAGTGAGAGGTACAATTCTACTTGTCCTTTCGAGGGCAAAATAGCGTAATATTATGTCATATTTGCTTACCATGCCAAGTTTGTGCAGCCAAGATGACCTCATAGTAAACTCTTTGGAAGGGATCGAAGGGAAACCAGTAGAAGAATGGCAGTATGAGCGGAGTGTCGTGCCCCATCGCTATCTTCAATATCTCCACGAATGGCGGGGACAAGAAGATCACCAGAAGGGCGTTGTTGCACCAGTAGTAACCTAAAATGAATTAATTTAGGTACAATTTATGAACAGCTAGGTTGTTTTGCTTACAAATCTTAATGCCGAACTCTTGAAGTGAGCTCGATCGCGGTCCGCCATGTTATTGGTTGTAAGAATAATCTCGACTCGGCGTGGTCTACAATCGATACCGAAACCAAACATATGGTTTTTTAATTTTTTGTCTGATTGTATGTATGTAGGTAGGTACCTAGGTATGAATGTCCGGGATGAACTTAAAAAAATGCTGCATGAATTTACTTCAAATTATGCATGAATATTTATTACCAACAGGTCGTGTCAACACATAATCACTTTTTCACGCGGACGAAATCGCAGGCACAGCTAGTATTTTAACATTTTTGTGGACGTAAGAGACAACAAAAGAACTACAGAGTAAGAGCAGCGCTCTCTGATAAACCCGAACTTTTTAACAGGTACTTACCTTGAATAACATAGTTGAGGTGTCGCAGAGCGGAGCTGATGATCTCATGCTCTTCATCAGACACCTCGCCCCTCGGCCACATGCTGCGCAGCTCATTAACCAGGTTCTCGTAGACGGGACGATGGTACACCATCTTGTAGGACTTTGCCATGGCTGCAAATTTTCTTTTATTGGTGGCGATAGCCTAGATTTTATAAGTACCTACATGAATGGTTTGGAGCTTGATCTCGGAAGTACCACCTTTTCACAGAATGAAGTGGAGCACCAGAGTGAAGTGGGGATGTAGTAAATAGATTGCTACGTATCGTTAATTCTATTTAATTACTTTTATAACTTGACATCTGTTTGATGGTATTTTTTTATTATTTTTTCTTTTTTATTATTAACTCGTCGAGTACCGGTTTTGTAGACACAATTATAGAACAATAGGTTGCGGTCACCGGTGACCGCTTGGTGTTTGACAGTTTAAACTGGTTTAGTTAATTTTAAGTTGCATCTATTTATTCCTAACTAGCTTTTACCCGCGGCTTCGCTCGCGTCACAAAAGGATAAAAAGTAGTCTATGTGACATATACCAATACATACAGCGCCATCTATACCAATACTTTTGTTTTCCCTCGGGAATATCAAATTTTTTCGGGATAAAAAGTACCCTATTATTTAATCCAGACTACTAACTTTACGTCTGCAAAAATTCAATGCAATCGGTTTAGTAGTTACGGCGTGAAGTCGGAACAAACAAACAAACAAACAAACTCACTTTCCCATTTATAATAGTAAGGAAGGATAAGGATAGTAAGGATAGCTTTTACCCGCGGCTTCGCTCGCGTCACAAAAGGATAAAAAGTAGTCTATGTGACATATACCAATACAAACAGCGCCATCTATACCAATACTTTTGTTTTCCCTCGGGAATATCAAATTTTTTCGGGATAAAAAGTACCCTATTATTTAATCCAGACTACTAACTTTACGTTTGCAAAAATTCAATGTAATCGGTTTAGTAGTTACGGCCTGAAGTCGGAACAAACAAACAAACAAACAAACTCACTTTCCCATTTATCCTTATTAATAGTAAGGATAAGGATTGAGTAATGTAAGTTTCATACCGAACATAAATTATTTTCAAACAAGGACGTTGAAGAAAAGCGGGCACAGTCTCTCGAAACAACGACTGTGGCACCTGGCTACTATAGACATACACGCAGAATACACACACATTGACACGAAGGACATCTGTCGCGAGAAATTAGCGTCAATACACTTCATACATTACGGTGTTGCAACTACACTCACACATAAATACACCACTGACATTTTGGTGTTTCGCTCATTTCTAAGTAACATTACGTCCGCCTTTTTTCAAAAAGATATATTTCAGAACAGAAATGATGGCGCAATAAAACAGTTTCCAAAAAGGTGACACCTGAATTTGTGATACCACTGCTTTGCAGGTGTACTTAGGCCACGGTGACCGCTTATTATCAGGTGCGTCCGTAAGCTTTATCTTACTACCGACAAAGGTAGTGTGGTACTTCAAATGATATACCTACCATAACCAAATCATGTATGGTAAAAGAAAATTAGTTTTATATATCTTTACCCAGCAGCAGATACCCAACGCAGGGCATCATACGGAATATCTCGACGGCATCCTGGAAGGATCCCCCTCTCGCTGTCTTTGCCATGTTGATCAGCTCCAGCCATGTCACTATAAATAGGTTTCCGAACTCGAACCAGTAGAAAATGTTCCAGAGCAATCTGCAAATTGTAATATGCGTAAAAGTTTAGTAAACTCTAATAAATTTCTGGAAGTTTTTTCATTTAAGGTTTTGAATGCCAATAGAGAATTGTTGAAGGCAAATCCTCCGCTAACGTCGATCATCGGTGACCCCCATGACGTTTAGAGCTCGTACACAAAACTGCGATGCGATGCGAATTCGCAACGCAAAAAATTACATGCGACAAGGCGTCTCCCAGGGTGACCATTCCTTCAACAACCGTCAAACGTACTAAACGTATTTTAAATTGAAAACTAGGTTGTGACATGGATTGTAAAAAGAAGTGTGCACTTCTGTTATTGCTTAGGAGAACTAGAAAAGAATACAGGAAAAAGAAACGCAAGTTCTTGCAATGCGTAGAGGGAGCTCGCACATTTTTGCAATATGACGTCGCATCGCAGTTTTGTGTACGAGCCCTTTATGTGTTAATTTCCACATCAAAACATAAATTATGAACTCGTGACTTAGTCACCCGTCATCCCGTGGGTTGAGTTGATGTACCTTCTCTACCCTGCCACCACCACACGGCGTAAAATGCGTATGATTAGATAGGGTCAAAAATATCATTACATACTTATAAAATAAAATGACAATACTACAAATTACCTCACAAAAGTGGAATCATCTCTCGTGATTCGTAGACCAACTAGTCTGAGTATGGCTTTTGTAATCGCAAATGTTGCATCGTACGAATCCACATCGTATACCTGCAAAAAAAGGTTTTTATACAGACTGTAATATTGGACATGTCCACATTAGTCTTTCTAATAAGAGCTTTCTAGCAGAAAGACCGTAATATCGTATGCTAGTCCTAAATTACCCTTGTAGGGTATTTTTTTTTTTTAAGGGGGGAAAATCATCGAATGAGTTCTCCCGCCTGGGTGAGGCGGGAGGGAGTGTCAGACTCTTACTGACTAAAAACCACCCCGTGCCTACTCCTGCACGTCGAGCCGGAGCCCCGGTTACCCGTTAGGTTCTCCGCGACACCCTTGTACGGTATAGAGTACTAAAAATTGCGTCTAAAGACAAGAATTTGTTTAGGATTTTTAAGTCTTCAACACCACTAGCACTGTTAGAGGTGACATGTTATGCGCCTGCCACACACTCGACGAGTGGTATGGGAAGTAACGAGGAAAGGAGGCAGAGACATAGTGTGGCAACATTACCCGTCTTGCCACACGTCATGCTCCTCGTGTCTACTGCTCCCTATTTTGTCAGTTTTTGCGCGCGAGTCGAAGGGACCGGCAATACGAGGAGGCAACGAGGACCGGCAATAGGAACGTCGCGATTAATTGCACGAGTAGAGCAATTGGTGGGCAGAGATAGCAACATCGCGGCAAACCACGGCAGCGCGAGGAGCATAGCGATTAACAGCGCAAGGAGTTAGTCTAGCAGGCGCATAAGAAAATATTAAATCGAATTTAAAAAAAACCATTTTATATCAAACAGTTCCGAAATTTATTGGATTTTTTTTATACCACTTCGTTGGCAATAAAGCACACGGCCCACCTGTTGGTAAGTTGTCGACCTTAAAGAAACCTATTCACTCCCCTCTTGAAGAACCCCATGTTGTAGCCCACTGGGAAAATCACAGCAAGGAGTTCATTACACAATCTTAAGTATTACGAAAACCGGACAGAATGAATTTTTAACTAGAATTTATTCATAGCATATTGACCTTAGATGTAGCTTCGTTTTCATCATGTTTACTCTTCTTACCAAAACACTTTTTTAGAAAACCCAACATTTTGTTCAACGAGTCTTCGAGAACTGATTCATTTGTTTTTGTTCCAACATTCTTATTCCAACACCGTGTGAGATAGAACAGAGGGTGTTGTCAAATTTTTATTCCATTTAGGACAACTTCTGTATTGTTGAAGGACTTTAGCTATGATTTAATAAAATTGTTTCGAAAGAATTCAGTTAAAAGGTGTTTTTATTGTTTGTTGTTGTACAGACTTACCTCCGCCCTGTGAATAAAGTTTTTGAGTAATGTGGAAGTATATTTTGTAACTTTTCAGTTGTTTGTTTACTTTAATATAGTCTATTAACACGCCTGTTATGTACACAAGAGATATATAGAGATGTACCACTTTGTATTTTCAACTGTCAATTATTTTATTAGAGGTAGATCTAAGATATTATGTCTTGATAACGGATTAACCTGTATGTAGGTATACTAGGGGTAAGTCTATTGTAATTTCTTACTCATCATATACAATACCAGGGTCGCAATAAACCTGGAGCTGCGGATAACTTAACAGGGGCCGGTGGCTTGAAGCATGCGTGGGAACGGGGTGGTTTTTAGCGAGGAAGAGTCTGACACTCTCGCCTCATCCAAAGGGGAACAGTCATTGGACGATTTTCCTCTCAAAAAAAGCTCAAATAAACAATTTTGATATCAACTCCAAGATAGAACTAGTGGTCTGAACTAGATTCATCACAATCGATGAGTGTACTTGAAATTCCGATCGGTGAATTAATGACAATATTTTCTGTAGTCAATCTATGAATAATATGAATATCATTGACCTCGGTGGTGGGTGTAAACAAGCGCTGGTCATTGGGAGTGTGGCCACGTCTGCCTTCACTCTGTCGATGGCCGTCTCCTGTTGCTTTTAGATTTGCATCGCTAGGCAAGGATACGTCTACGTAGACTTGGGAGTTAGGAGGGCCAATAACAATTTTATTTATTTACATAACATAATATCCCCGAATTATCTTTATGTCCGAAGGGGTAGGCAGAAGTGCACATTACGGCATTTAATGCTACTGTACAATATAACACTCACTTTTCACTATTCATATTATGAGTCCTATTTAGTAGGGGGTGAAACTGTTGCCATATACCGGGCATATTTCCAAACTCTATGCTACTACTGAGATTTTTTATAAAACCCCAGTAATACTTTGCTCGACCGCGGGAATCGAACACGTAACCCCTTGACAGATAGTTTATACAAATTACGTTCTTAATTCAAATAAATGTGGTAGATAACGGCTATCCAGATATTGTGAAACAGGCCAAGCTAGCAAATTCCATATCACAATATTCCGATAATCCCCTCTAAATAAATAACAGACTAAATATTTGACAATTTATAATCAATCACGCGAAGCGCTCCGAATTATAAATTAAAGAAACTTATTTTCTATAGCCTATTTTGTAAAAAGTTACTTGAAACTCTAATACTATCTACTAGCTGAAGTAACCACTAACACAAAATGAACTACTAAATAAGATTAACAAAAGAGTTATTAAGCCCAAGACACAAGTTTCAGTGGTCTCCCTAATCTCTCGTTTAAAGTTGCCAGGGATTAAGCCGAGCTGTATTTAAATTACGTTAAAAGCTATTTTTCACTTTCACATAACGTGTTAAATACTTAAGAGCCACTTAAACCTTTTAAATCTATTTATAAGATTTTGTTTTCATGATCCCTTTTTCTTAAATATTTTGAAGGGAAATTACCCACTTCAATGCCTTTTCGTAATGGTCTTTTATTAAAATGTTTCTAGACGCAGGCTTTTGGGAATTCAATTTCTTTTTAGGGAAGACGGGTAAGACAATTTGCTGATGTAGGTACCTAACGTAACTAAGACATCTCTTAGGTAGGTGTTATATTATTATGCCATGGTAGGGATGTACCCGAGCGTGCGGCGCGTCGCATTCCGCGCGCGACTTAAAGAGCCATCAGACCACCAAAGATGGGGCCCAATAGGCCTGATGCCGATACGGAGTCGCGGAGAACTTAACGGGTTACCGGGGCTCCGGCTTGAACTGCAGGAGTAGGAAGGGGTGCTTTTTAGTCAGCAAGAGTCTGATACTCGCTGTCGTCTCACCCAGGCGGGAGAAGTGATTCGATGATTTTCCCCCCTTAAAAAAAAGGTAGAGATGTAGTTTGATTTATAGAGGTATTTAGGCTTCATAGCTTATTATACGGACGGGGTTCCGGCTCGACGTGCAGGAGAAGGAACGGGGTCGTTTTTGGTCAGTAAGAGTCTGACACTCCCTCCCGCCTCACCCAGGCGGGAGCAGTCATTGGATGATTTTCCCCCCTTAAAAAAATAAATATACGGACCTTGTGGAATCTACAACAAATTACCGTGCGTTAAGGCATTTTATAATCGTGTAAATGTGCATGTATCTACCACCCATTCTCAGATTCTTTTCAAAAATTACATCCAAAGGTTGTCTGGAAGAAGTCGCCGCGTGTGATAAGACCGCCCATTGTACTCAAATTACTATTGCAATGTTTACAATTTTTTTTCTGTGTTCTGTTTAACTATAAATAAATAAATAAATATATGCGTTTGTCTATTCGACTTTTGTAAGAATAGAAAAGCCGTTACGAGGATTAAAAATACGTACTCCCTATGCGTTATTCTATACCATAATCTACCCCTGCACCAAACTCATCGCGATGCTTTCAGCTGCTTTGACATGATCAAGTAACAAACAAACATATACACAAACACACACACACAGACACACAAACTTTCGCATTTTTTATTTTTTTTTATGGCATTAGCCGGTAAACTATCAGACGGATCACCTGATGGTAAGCAATCGGCGTCGCCCATGGACACCTGGAACACCAGAGGCGTTACAATTACAAGTGTGGTACCGGCCTTTTGGGGATTAGGAGTTTGAGGATCGATGAGGATTCAGGAATTAGGGAGATTGGGGAAGGAGAGGGTAATTAGGCATCCGGTAACCTCACTCACACGACGAAACACAACGCAAGCTTTGTTTCACGTCGGTTTTCTGTGAGGCCGTGGTATCACTCCGGTCGAGCCGGCCCATTCCTGCCGAAGCATGGCTCTCCCATACTTATTATATTAGTAAGATTTACACTCTTAGTCACAGTGCCTAATTAAAAAATAATTAAGTTAGCTTAGTCATTCA